ATTCAGTATCGTTAAAACTCGTTAAGTTCGAAAATGATAACATTAAAGAAATTTGTAGAACGGTTTTTGAGATATCGTCCAATAGCAACTTTTACATTTTCGGTGTGGAGGACATGCGTCTTTCTCTGCGGTGACGTCACGAAACTCTTTGTTGTATAAACTGTTACTTTGTCTACATTGATAGCCGATCGCCTCTTCTGCAGCGATACGCATAGAGTTGGTGATGTGGTTCCATTGCGTTATCAATCTCTTCAAATTTAGTTTTCAGATATTGGGAGAGCTGAGTAGCGAAGTCATTAGCTGTCTGTTGTGATTGCAGTTTTTCGACGTGCTTGTTCACATATCTTTTTCATCGCACATAGACTTGTGTGGATCTTGGCTGCAACAATATAATGATCCAATTCGATGTTGGCTTCTTGGATAGTACTAGACACTGGAAGTATGCTTTCCGTCTATCACAACGTGATCAATTTGAGATTTTGTGTTTTGGTTAGGTGATAGCCATGTTGCATTTTGTTATTGTGATGCTGGAATCTGGTACTACTAACCACCATATTTTTAAACGTATAGATTTCAATTGGACTTTTTCCATTATCACTAGTTTTAATAAGAAGTCTGAACTCTCCGACAGTAGCACTAAAGATATCATCTTTACCCACTTTTGTGTTGAAGTCTCCTACAATGGTTTTAACGTCATGTTCACATGCTTGTTTAAGCTGTTTATAGAAAGATTTCTTTGTGTCATCATCTTGATCTTCAGTTGGGTGATGTAGACAAATTTTGCCTTAATACGGATTTTGACAAGCATTTTGTTTATTGGCGTAAATGTTGGAACCAATTTTCTCAACCGTTGGGTTACCGAAAATTCGACTCCGAATTCGTATATTATTACATGGCAGCTGTAGCAGACGTCACAATGTTCTCGTTCAGACCATCTTTGTCTCGTCTATCGCATTTTCTGGAGCGCAGTACTGTCAGCCTTATATTTCATGAGGACATCAACCAACTGTATATATGCAGCTTCTATGTAATGAGTTCAGACATTTCAGGTGTATATTCTTAAATAATGTTCCTTATAACATTTGCCTGTGTCGTGAACAGTAAACGATTTTCTTATCCAAGGCTGCCTCTTCGAAGCTGAGTGATTGCGGCAGAGCCGCATGAACATGCAAAGAAATACACTTATGCAGATATGCGTCCAGCTAACGAATAAAGAGAGATTTTTCCTATACCTAAATAGACCACGAATTTATATGAAAGATCACTTATCGCCAGCACACCGAATTCGATAGATATCTACACTATCGCTAAGGAAATTTTATCGCCAATAGTATTAATAGTATTTCGATACCACACACTATATAAATTATAGACAAGTAGTTTATACGCCATAGACTAGAATCCTTTGTATTTTTATAATATATTACTCCTCCTGCATTTTGATGGAATAGGTTAGAACCTTTTGTATTTCCGTAGAATAAAACGCCAACAGCATTTTGATGCCAAAGGCAACAATCTATTTTAAACCTTTAAATTATAACACCGTAGGCTACAATTCTTTTATCTATAAGCCCATATTACCTAGCATTACAAATTTTATAACAAAGATAATCTTTTTAATCCATATCCGTCCAATTATTTTTTAAAAAATTTTTGGTAAAAATTTAATATATTGAATATATAAGGGTCAAAAATCATGGATCTGTAGTCAAAAATTTTTTACAATTTTTAGTTTTAGAGAAAGGTGGTGTTCGATTAATCAAACAGTGGGTGCTTAACCGCAATTTTTTCATTTTCGCTTTTTTACATAATGCGTTAACAGAAAAACAACTGTTATTTATATGCGTTTTTTATTTTTAAATTAAAGAATCAATAAAAAAAGAATAAAAGACTATTATTTAACTATTCCATTTTATCAGTGGTATATTACATCTTAGCAAAGCTTTTCGTCTCTTTTTATTGCCGACGAACAAATTAATCCAATTTCCATGCATTAACGATGCCTCAATCAAACACAGCTAGCCATAACAGCCAGTACCAGTTTTTGGATCCGATTGCAATATGGTAATTTTGAACGGCATTGACAAGTAGATCAACTTCTCCCATTCCTCTATTGCACTTTTAAATCAACTGTGGTTGGGAGTAAAATTTTCCTCATCTGTTTTTTCGTCAATTTTGTCTGGTAGTATGATCATGATAGCAATTATTTCTTGCTTATCATCACTCCAATCTTCTAGTAAGGCTTCCAACTCAGCTCTTGTTTGAATACAAAGAAGATAATGTCTCGATCCTATTTCTTCTATTTTAACTAATATTTAAAAAAAATCCATGTAAATCCAAGTAAAATTTGCTGAGCAGATTTGAGTTAAATTGAAAAAAACAGTGTTTATTCTTTACTCCTTAGCCTTTTACTAGCTCTCGAACTACTCAAGTCAATAAAGAAATTTATTGCAATGACTCGAACCACATCTGAATATTCCTCAACAAAACAAACGACGAATATGTGTCGTTACGAAACAAAGTCGAAAATACAATTATAGCAATATTTGCTAACGATACTTATATATTTTTTTCCCATAGATCAGACAATAACTAAACATCATAATTAACAAGCAAAACGTACTTTCGAACAACTATATAAAATACTTAGGGATATATTCATTGTATTCACTTACGGAGGCGTGATCTAAGCTAAATAATATTTTAATAAAATCCATGCGAATTTATGACAATCAAACAGGGAACCGCAAAGTAATCAAATGATAAAAATATGCAAAAAGTACAAACGATGATCTTGAGGATAGTAACAGTTTCACCATTGTTTATAAGTCATCGCAGAGATTGGGACATATTATCGATGATGAAAGATTTTGCTTAATGTAAACGGTAATAACATAACACCCAAAATAGAAAAACTGAATTTACTGGTAATACAAATCTAAATTAAATTATTGGTATTAAATTTAATTTTTCAATAATATTTAAAGTTTTCCAAAGCATTGTCTTGTTCAAAAATACACATCAGATTTAACCGATTCTCCACAAGAAAAACTTATTCCTGACCACCAATTCGGCTTTCGGAAAAAATATTCGACTATAACATACAACGAGTTCACAGAGTTGTAAATAAAATAACAAGTGTAATCGACACAAAAACAATTTTCCTCGGTGGTATATCTAGACGTTCCAAAGGTTTTCGCAAAGGCATGGGGCTCTTCTAACCAAATTATCCGAACTACTTCCAAGAAACTTTTATCAACAAAGATACTTTTATGTAAAGTATAAAAACTCAATCTCCGAACTTAAACAAATGAAAGCTGGTGTGTCTCAAGGAAGCGTACTAATTCCATTAATTTACTTGCTATAAACGGCTGATATTCAAATACCTTCTGATCCTCAAAATTTGATAGCAACTTACAGACAACTTACAGAATTATTTAAACGCAACGCTGGAATGGTTCGACAAATGGGGAGTGTAAAAATTTTTAATGATGAAGTCTTCACACACACAAAGGTAAATTACCTTGGTATTACTATAGATAGCAGATTAACTTGAAAAGACCACATCAAAGTTAAAAGTAATGAAATTAAACGTCGCTTTGGACAAATGTACTGGCTACTCTGCTCAAAATCAAAGGTAACAGTGGATAATTAACTTCTAGTATATAAAACGCGATTCGCTCCAATTTGGATATAAGGAGCCGAAATATGAGGCACAGCATGCAAATCCAACATTCACTTAATGCAAAGACATCAACCAAAAATACTTAGGACTGTCATTGACGCTGACTGGTACATCTCAAACTATGACATTCACCATAACTTTAAGATACCCTTCGTCGTAGTCGTTATCCGAAAAAATAGCACAAATCACACAGATAGATTACTTTCCCATCTTAACCCAACAATGGGACAGCTACCGAATGACGAAGCCACATATAATAAACGATTGAAAAGCTTATATCCATCAGAACTATCAATTTAATAATCCATAATCTAATATGTTCATAGTACAATCCTTATCTATCGATTGATTAATAGATGCCAAATCTTGGCAGTTGTATAAATAAAGGGGATTAAAAAGCATAAAAAAAGTTTTTAAAATTTGAAGCGCTAAAAACAAAAAAGATTTATAAACAAATTATTATAACTACTATGTTAATGTAAATTAATTATCTAAAAATGTAATTAACTTTCTATAATTAAGCATAAATGGTATTTAGAGTTTTCCGAAATATTATTAGCTATTTATACTCACTTGGACATTAAAAGTCGGGATTCACATAATTCAAATAATTTCTCTGGACATTCATCTAATATGTTAGCATAAACAGTGTCTAGAATTTCAGCAGATACCCGGAAAAGTTCCTCAAAGTGATCAATCATTATTCTGTAAAACATAAATTTGATGCAATTAACTAAACATTTTGAAGATCCAGTTTCCTACCTTACTACATTGATAGCATCTGCCATTACTTCTTGTTCTGTTACGTTCGCTGTCAAAGACGTAGATTTTAATATATTAGGAGCAAACACAGTGGCTAAATTATTGCTATCCATTTTATTCCCAGAAACAAGCACATTACCCTCTTTGTCAAGAACGTCATCTGAATATGTAGCAACCTTTGCCAAAAATTTAAGCAGTACATATAATGTGTCCCTATGTGTTTCTGGTAACAGTTTAATTAAATGGGATATAGCCTCTAACTGTAGGCGTCGATTTCTTATTTCTATTTCAATACAGACAAAAAATATATAAATTATAAATAAAAAATTATTTTGTCAGTTTATTACTCAGTGATGTAAACAATTTATTTAAGAAGGCAAAATATCTTATTTTTCAAAACGAATACTTTATATTCCAAAAAAATGTTTTCTTTTATAACATGTTTATTACCCGCCGTTACTCGGGATTGACTCGGTTACTTGGTAAGTTATATTCACTCACTTCAGAAGTATCTTATCAAGTAAATTACTCCTTGTGTGCCATAAGTGGACGCTACAGATACTCTCCACAAATACATATTAGTGCAGTATTCACGATGAATATGTCGCTATTGTATATGCAATGGTTATACTATCAATTGCCGACAGCAACTCACTGATTGGGCTGAAAGAAGGGGCTACTAATTGCGTCTAAGAATGACTAAGTATTTAAGTACTAAGTATAGTACTTAAGTATGGGCAAAAATTATTGAAATCTGTTTATATTTAGCAATATTCAGATGGGAGGATTCAATGTATGAGGGTATGAGGGTAAATTTGTTGACGTATCACGAACCGCACGCCAACGCTCAAAATTTTCAGTCTCAGTAGTAAGGCGCGCGATATGGCAAACATAGCACGAAAAAATTATTATCAGTAATCGCTTTTTCTGCTCAAGAAGATCGAGAACTACGAAAAAGAAGGCAAGGTTCATGAACGAGACGAAGTCGACGATGTGGAATAACGCACTATTGTAAAGGAGTATTTTTATGAAGAGAATGTTCGCCAATCTGTTATTACTGGCAAGCTATTACCGCGTCGAAAATGGCGGTAAGTGTAACAGATCTCAAGAGGAACCCGTTATTGCAGCGAAACGGCGTAAGGACGGAACGGAGAATGCGAAACCAATGTCAAGACCGACATAAGATGTCCCTTCAGTGAAGTGGCAAGGGATCATCTAAATTTGACTTTATCGACGAACGCAACTCTAGCGACAAGATGCTGATGGAAAGGTGGGCGCTGATTGAAATTAATCTGTTCGAATTGGTTATAGTCAACCTCATGATAAATCCAGGGTTCGATCACTAATATTAGTGAGTACAGGGACGGTTTAAACCTTAAGCTTGTTTCTGCTGCAGAAATTTCATTGAGACTTCGAGCGCGCGTATGATTGCCGAAATATCTTAGACCTCAAGATCTTACTCTGCAGCAACTTAAGCTGCAAAGTCCAGAAACACAGATGCAACACTGGTCTGTTTTCAAGACCAAATAACCGCAAAAGCACTTCTTCTCATCAACGATATTGCTTCTTCTCATCAACGAAGAATGCTTGCCAGTGATTGAACTAATGGCTGCAAGCTCCAATACGGCATCCGGAATGCTAAATTTAAGATTTTCAAATATACACCATCATATAACATTTTAGATAAGATAGAAGATACTATCAAGTTGATTGATGATGACAAACTCTGTTGATGTTCTAGTGGCCAAGATCGTGCAGATAAACCTTAAACACTTCAAATGTGCCATGAGTAATCTGGTTGTCTTATTCACAAGACCATCAGGTTAGATCGGAAGCAAAAGCTCACAACACCATAATATTCGCCTACATGCCACATGATGTTGAGACGCCTCCACAGAAGGTAGAACTGGTTCACAATTTCGCATAGGTCGAGCAGCTAACTTTGCTGTTGGGGTGTGATGCAAACACCCAGCACTTCTTTTTGACACCAGATATAGTTCTGAGTAACATCATGGAGTGCGCTCTTAATAATCTTAGTAGATGGGCCTCAATGTGTGACCTAGGAGAAAAGACTTCTAAGACACAACTTTTATTGTTTACCAACAAAAATAAAATTCCAAACTTTCTATTGCCAAGGCTAAACGACCAAAGACTAACTCTTTCGCACAAGGTGAAGCACTTAAAAGTAATTCTTGACACAAAGCTTAATTGAAGGACCAACATCGATGATAGAATTCGCGAAGCAAATAAGAGCTGGGAATTGCAGCCTAAAGTAAATCTTTGGCTATATACAGCCAATTAGTTGGACAACCAATTTTAGTCTTCGAATTACTAATATAGTGGCCCTCGCTGGATAAACAATATATTGTTTAAAGGTTCACCAGACTACAAAGATCTGGGTATTGAAATTATGCCTCACTAGTGCGCTCAATTTCATACTTCACTTGATACCCATTAATATCAAACCAGTAACTACTCTCATATATAGGCTTAAAGATTTAAACTGTTGGTATTCGATTTCGTTCGGATATGGGAACATTCCATCAATCCACCCGATAGATAGGAGTAGTAAACCGGACTACTTATGTCCTCGCTTATACTTCGACTATAACTTTGCCAATAGATCTTCCTCAAGAGCGGAATTGGAGGTAGGGCTGCTTCCAACACTGGGAAAGATAGCGATCTATAACGACTGGTCTAATCTGTCACGAGTAAATAGGAAGTGGGCTTACAATTTAGATCAAGAGTGACATGGCAATATATTTCAAATGTGGAACTTCTGACTTGATACAGAAAATCAAATCAGAGGTATCTAGGTTAATATCAATATTTAAAGTGCACTGGACCATAGGACGGAATGAAGCTCAACCTACCCTGTAGTATGTCCTGTAATGCGTGTCTACCGACTATCGAATAAAGGACACCAGAAAATCTGTGTCTATGTCCGATCTATCCAGAAACAGGCTTAAGTTTTTGGGCACGTTTCTTTTACACATTCAGTGATATCTCCAGCATTAGCATAGCAGATCATTACGAGGAATTTAGAAATTCAAAACGGCTTTCTTAGCTAATTGAGGAGGATTCATTTCTCTCTCCACTTCAACTAACTAACTAACAGTTTTGTCTAAAGTTTAAAAGAGATGAGGGATATTAATTGATAATTTTTTTGTATTTTACTTCCCTACCCTAGAGACAGACAAGTTTTGCACTCTATTATGTTTTGAAAAAAAAAACTATTTTTCAACCCACCCTATTCGTATATACGAGGGCGGTTTGATAAGTCAGTGATTTTTTAAATAAAACAAATTTTTTTCGCCAAATAAACATTTTATTTTTCTACATAATCACCTTTTAGCTCGATACATTTAGTCCAGCATTTTTTTGATTTTCTTATTCCCTCCAAATATTAGATTTTCTCAAAGCTCTCAAAACACATATTTGTTTCGGTAATGACTTCTTCATTCGACTCAAATCTCTTACCGCCCAGCCAGTTCTTTAGGTTTGGAAACAGCAAATAGTCGCAGGGGGCTAAATCTGAAGAATATGCTGGATGGGGTAGCAGTTCGTACCCCAATTCGTAGATTTTGGCCATTGTGACTTGACAAGTGTGCACCCGTGCATTGTCTTGATGGAATAGTACTTTCTTCTTCACCAAATGTGGCTGTTTTTGCTTCAAATCAACGTCGAATCTATTCAAAAGCTTTCTTGAGGTAATCGATGTGAATGACACCGCTTGCATCCCAAAAAACTGTGGCCATGACCTTGTTGGCTGACAGACTCTGTTTGGCCTTCTTTGGACCACGTTCACCCCTAGCAACCCACTGTTTCGATTGTTTCTTGGTCTCTGGCATGATGTGCTGAATTCATGTTTCGTCCACAGTAACAAAACGGCGCAAACATTCGTTCGGATTACGGCTGAATATCGCTAAACACTTTTTTGAAGTGGACACACGATTGCGCTTATGGTCGAGTGTGAGCAATCGCGGCACCCATCTCGCGGAGAGGTTTTTCATGTCCAAATATTTGTGTAAAATATGATGTACCCGTTCAGTTGAGATAGCTACAGCATGAGCCAATTCACGCACTTTCATTCTCCGATCATCCAATATCATTTCATGGATTTAATCGACGATTTCCGACGTGATCATTTCTTTTGGGTGACCTGAACATTCGGCGTCACTAGTGCTGGTACGACCACAACGGAACTCTGTAAACCACTTCTTAACTATTGAAATTGATGGTGCCGAGTCCCCGTAGTATTTTTCAAGTCTTTCCTTAGTTACAGTGCTGGATTCTTTAGGTAAAAAGTAATGCTTAATCAGCACACGAAATTCACTTTTTTCCATTTTCGTAAAAATTCACAAGGTTGTCTGCTTTGAACGGCTATCAAGCACCAACTGAACGACGTAGCTTGCTCAAAATTAGAAAGTTGCCCACTGATAGATTACAGCTGACGGCAGTACTGTTGCATTTGAAGTTACTGCGCGGAAAATTCAAAAAGTCACTGACTTATCAAACCGCCTTCGTATGTCATATATCGTACAAAGCAATAGTATCCTCAAGAAATATTTGTGATGCAAGACTTAGATGAGAACATTTTACCTTAACTATTTTTTTGCTGTGATATTTCAGCGTATGAATTTATGACAGTGATTTGTGATAATAGTTTCAACGGTGGTAATGTAATTTTGCGCTTACGGCTACAAATTAAATATTGCAGTTTGTTTTACATATTGTAACGTAGCTTCTTAGCCGGGGTATCACTTGTCGAGCCAGGTCAGTCTTACAATAAATGACAGTAATAAGCTATTTGCAGAGTTCATTAATAATAAAAATTATATTTTAAAAGATTTGGTTTCTTTATTCACTTCTGCTCAAACAAAAAAGGATTTTGTTGTTTGTTAACTATTCCTTAAGTAATAGACCTTTTTCAAAAAAATTTTTTTTTGTTATGTTGGTACACCCTTTCTTGATATGTGGTACAAATTTGAACGCCATCTGTCAATTAGTTTGTTTACAGCAGCTGTTAATGTGAGACTACCTCAAGTGCATTTAGCGATTTTTACTATGGAAAATTCTTGTTGTACGCGATTTTTTGACCAATCACGGCACCACTGTCATCGCTCAGGCACCATATTCACCAGATCTGGATCCATACGATTTTTTCCTGTTCTCGAAACTCAAATTGCCCCTTCATAGTAAGCGTTTTGAGTCGATTGAATCGGTAAAAGAGAATTCGCTAAAGGAACTAAAAGCCATGCCTGCACGGGCCTACGAAAAGTGTGTGGAAGATTGGGTTAAGCGCTGGCATATGTGTATCGCTTCAGAAGGAGCATATTTTGGAGAAGATAAAATAAATTTGGAATAAAATTTAAATTAGTGTGTTTTATTTACAAAATCCGAGTACTTTTTGATTTAGAGGTAAGACCTCCTCTTTAAGTCTTATATTAACTTTGTAAAAATTAAATATATATATAAGATTCGAGAGGTGTGAAGAAATCATACAAAAGGCATGCTAGGTTACTGGCATTCTCTTCTCTTATTCTCTCGCTGACATATATCTTATTAGGCCATCTTTGCTTTTGTAGAATCGACAAAGGAAATTGTGACTTGAAAAGTATAACTCCTGCTTCTCAGCTGTGAGTCATACTACGTAACAAGTATTATAACTCTTTCTACTTTAATTAATTAAGGAGGCATATAAAACAAGTAGTATTAATTTAGTGTCTTTGATACAGAAAGACAGAAATATATAAGAAAGAAAAATATGGCTATCACATTTTAGTAGTATATTAGTATTATTTCTGTTTCTTTGATACAGAAATAAAGAAATATATAAGAAAGAAAAATGTGGTTATCAAATTTTCTTGAGAATGAAGAAGGTTCCAGCAACTTTCCGGAAACTTTCCATGCAACTGACAAATATTTTATTCTGAATTTTAAATAGTTAATAACATTTATAGGTAGTTCTTTCAGATTTTTAGTAAAGATTTGGGCGTGAATTTTTTGCATTAATATTATGTTTCTGTATTTAATTTAATTTAATTGGTTGTTATTTTCTTTATTCACATATTCTTATATCTGATTTAAAATTGGTAAAATTATGTTTTTTAGATTTTTATCTAGCAGTGTCTTATGAAGTGTCTTTACATCTTAAGACTAAAACGATAAACGATCTGTTTCCAATAAAGGTTCATTGAAAATTTTAAAAAATATTCCAATCAAAAGTTTGTAAACAAAAAGTCAAACAAAATTAAAAAGTTTCACAAATATGTAAATTGTGATTTAGTGAAAAAGTAATATTTTAAAAATATACAAAAACTTTTTAAAATACATGAAGATAGTATAACTAAGAAACAATTTCAATTATTTAACTTACACAAGCTAACAAGTTTATACCTAGCTTCGAAATACTGTTACCATAAGCTTTATTATGAGGATGATTAGTAAAAAAAATTTCATTAGTAGAAGAGAGTCGACTGGAATGATCATTTTTGATATTTCTGAAGCTTTTGACAATGTCTGGCATGATCTCTCGTCAGTCCGATATATAGAAGCAGGGGTTCTACAACATTTATACATCTGATATCCCAATGTCAGGTCCCTCGACTCTGGCGTTATATGCTGACGATACGCGTATGCTGTATGCTGTATGCAGATAAATGTGCTCTCAACATAATCAACATACTTTAAGAGCATATAAACCTCTAAGGCTCAGTTGAAAACTAAGGTTCTGTTTATTAAGCGTAAGTGGAGACAGAATCCGTCGAGGGTAAGAGTGGGAGATATGGTAATAAACTGGGAGGAAAGCCTTTAATATAATGGCATCACGCTGCACAAACTATTCACATGGCTTAAACATGTTCAACTAAAAAGAATTAGCTGTGCCAAAATTCTTTATCACCTCCAACCGCTATTCAGAAATGAAAATCTCAATGCTAAGAACAGGAAGCTGATATATAACCAAATAATTCGTCTGTCACTTCTACATGGATGTGTAGCGTTTAGCAAAGCTTCAAACACTACTATTCGCCAGGTAGAAATTGCATAAAGCCAGGCTCTAAGAAGACTTTTCATCTCACGCAGGTTTTCAAATGAAGGCCAAAGTATTACCTGTTAAGAACTTCCTAATATCAGACAGAACAAGAAACACTACAAAAACGATAATTTTGTAGTATGTAAATGGACCATTTGCGTATTCAAAATGAAAATGAGAATAAACTTGAAACAATTGGGTCTGTGAGAGATATGCAAGGACTTCATAGTCATTACGACACATTGTGGCGTATTTTGCCTATGGATTTGCATTCCCATCCTCATGAATGGAAAGCTAACATGTAGCTTAGATTAATTGGCTGTTGGAATAATACCGCTTGAATGAGCTTTTTTTATTCAAAACTATTTAGTGAAAATAATTATTTTTCACTTGGTAGATATGTCAACAAAAAAATTGCCAGATTTAGGGCATTGAAAATTCAAAAAGAACTGTTAAAAGTTGATTGCATACTCAATAATATCATTGTATTTGGTCAGGGTGCGGTACAATCTAACATTTCTGATCGCTACCGCAACATATTTACTAAATATTTATGTAAAAATCAATATGTGAATGTACTTGATATATGGCTCCGCTTTGTTGTCGGAGAAATTATTTAATGTGTTTGGTCACCAAGCTTTAGCCATTTAACACCACAATACCATTAACACCACAGAATCTTTAAAAAGTTGACACTTTGACAACCAATATCCATCAATTTATGAATGATCTATTACTAGCAATGTGCCTATAAGTCGTTGAAAGTTATCTCTAAAGAATCCACGATTGTGAAATGTTGAGATCATTTTTGTGGTGTTTCATATTACACCAAATTTGTAGATATTAACGATATATTGAAATAAAAAATAGATCAGAATTTCAATAAAGTATGTTTTATTTACATGTACTTTTGGAGAAACTTGTACTGTATTTGATAAAAGTAGTTTTAGGATAAAAAAAGTTTTTCTCATTTTTTACTTATTAGAAAATATTCAGTAAATTAATTTGAAAGTTATAAAGAAACAACAATAAATCGGTCGACTTACTTTGAGTTTTTAGAAACGCTTTATACAAATGTCCACATAAAAGAGGTTCGGATAAATCTCGCAAAAATTCCTTTAGTAACGTCGCAACATCATGGGGGCATGTTGTTTCTGAAATTTCAGTCACAAACCTTTTATCAAATTCTTCCTTCATCTATATATGAAAACATAGAAGAGTTAATTTTTTCTCATTTGAAATGTGTAGTAGTTTGCTCCTACTTGCATAACGCGTTTTTTTGATGTACTGACTCGAAAAAGTCCTACTTGATGTAAACCATGTATTTCCAAAAATTGAATACATAAGGTGATAAAAGTTGGGACCTGTAAATCGTGCGTCACAAAAAACTCCGTTGACGATGATAAACTATGGTTTTTATCGAACTCCTGACTTTTTCTGCGCATATCACTTTGACTACGTGATAAAGCCGATTTCGTCAAATAACCAAAGTAGTTCGTTCCAATTTTTGAACCAGATTTTAAACCTTTGCAGTTTTCACCTGATGTATTAGTTACCGATAATGTGCTTGAAGGCAAATTTTCACATGACCGCACCTTTAAAAAGTAAAGTATATTCATAAGTATAACTGCTAATATATATTATTTATTTAAAAAATATGTAATTTTTCCCATCTAATTGCTTTTCTGTAGTAGAAAAAGTTTTGTTAAATATGATATTAATTATAAACTGATAAAAATATAACATATACAACTTAAGCTATCTAATTTAAAGCCCATACATTTGGATTAAGTTTATTGGAGTTATCATCACCACCACATCGACTTAGAGTAGCAGATTCTCCTTCTAATGCTATACAGAAGTTTTTTGAACGTTTTCTGTCATTTGCAACACAAGTGTTTAGATTATTACCAAATATTCCCGTTTGCAGTACTAGATTAATAATATAATTAAATTGAATTTGGAAGTAAGAATGTAACAAAATATCTTACATGAATCTTCCTTTTTACCGATATCAAACAAATTTGTTGTCAAGGCCTTTTTTTTTTGTAATGCATGACGTTTTTGAATTTTTCCTCCATTGCCATTGTAACTACCAGGACCTATATCTAAACCAATATTTAGTTCGTTTATTTTCTGTAGGGCCACTTGCTGCAAGTATTTTGATTCTATTGCAGAGAGGTTTCGTAGAACTGAATCTAAGATACAAATTCGATCACCATTTTCAGAAGTCCAAGCGAATTTTTCCTATTAATGAGAAATTGAAAATTATATTCATATTTGAGTTACTATAACATATTTGTTTTTAAAAAGATTACCGAAGGTGCCCATTTATGATTGTATGTTGTTGGTAAATGCACAGCTGATCTTGTTTGACTTCTCGACCGACTTTTGAGTAACTTCTTTGATACAAATTGTCCAACATTTGTTGAAGATTTTGATTTTTGCATTATGCCTTCACAGTTGCTGGCATCAACACCTAATGCATTGAATTAAAATAGTTTATATATTAATCCAACTATGAAACTTAAAAAATCGAATCGAAGATTATTATGAATTCAAACATAATATTCGTAGCGGCCCGTTTCTTCACAAATCCCTATCGACAACATTTCAAAAACACGGCCATTGGACCGTGTACATTTTAGCGGATTTGGTCAATATATGATATTATATTATTGATATTGAATGCCGTTGTCAGATATTTGAAGTACACATATGTATATGGATAGTAAACCGGTTATATATACATTATATTTTTTTTTATGTTTTGAGTTTAGAGTTATTTATTTATTCCAGAAAACGCGCGTATTAGAATTACAACTTTTGATGTATAAGTTTTCATTGGCGAACATTTTTTAAGATATTTTAGTTGTGAAATATTCTTTTTAATAAAGCTATTCAGTTGGAGAACACAACTATATGCCATGTCATACATTATGTTATTAGCAACACCAAAATACACAATTGATTCTTATTTATGAAATCATTTAGTAACTCTTATATATTTAAATAAATGATTTCAAGAAAATGTTTATCCACTAAAGACAATTACCTTAACTTAATTCTTCAACATAATTAACTAATACTACATAACAATGAAAATGTACCAGATTCAGAAGAAATTTAAACTCATTGATACTGTGCATTTATATACACATTTTCGTATAATATCCAGTAAAATTTTTATTTATACGTCTCCAACTTTTTTCTCTGTATATGAGTTTGTCAATTATTGTTGTTCAAGCAATACCTATCGGTTATCAACATCTCTTGTCTTTGAAATCAAAGAATTTTGATACAAGAAAATAAGAAAAACTTTATCGTATTAAATATTTATGTATCCACTGCAAGATTATAGAAAACAAAAAATTGTACTCTCTCTTCAGTATCCAGAGATTGTCTATGGTATATTTTGCGCATGTCTTTTTCACCGATAAAAATTTCAAAAATGTGATCTCACAAAACTGTAGCATTTGATTATTCATCCGCTTATTTATTTCGAGCAGACGCAAAATGACTCGAATCTGACTTTTTCGTTCAGTCAAAAACAATCAAATACGGACATTTTCGGGACTCGAATCAAACTCAATGCAGAAGGCGAATTCGCAAAGAAGAACATATACAGCCATATAATCCTGTGCAACTATTCTTGGGTATAAAGATTCCAAAAAATTATTTTCTTGATTGCGAATGCAATCTTTAAACAATTAAACAATCAAACAATCATTGTACATATAAATTTGAAAAAAAAATCCCAACGAAAGTGCTTTGCATGTTTTTATCAATTTTTGTGAAACAATCTTTTAAGCAATCTGTGATAAAGAAACTCTTTATTTTTTAATTTTAAAAAGAATCCATTCGTCTAGTTACCCGAATTTTCTTTTTGAATAGTTTGTTTTATTATAAAGAAGTAGTAAATTAGAATTTCACCAAAGATAAGTGACCGAACATGATTTAAAGAATATTCAGATTTGTCATTTGTATTTCTAGCTAAACATCCATGAAAAAACACAAATCCGATGAGAAGAACTGAGAGACCTTAACTAAAGCGAACGAGTACGAGTATAAACACAATATTTGCACTTAAGATGAATATATGGTAGATACACAAACAACACATTTGTGAATGTACCAACATTTGAAATTATTTAGAATAGTTTGTTCATAATATTAAAAGTAATAGCAAAATAGGCGTGCATCATTCTAGAACAACTCTAGTCAAATTTTATTTCTCTCGGAACCTGAAGTGAGAACTTTGCTTACATTTACCCAATCTTTATATATCCGAAATCTGTTAGAAAGCAATGGACATAACTTGCAAATTTGATTTGCAGTTACTTCCCGAAGGAATGAAATTAATATCTGGATATGTATTTCTAGCTTTAATTGCTTAGGATTTTGTGATTGCCGATTTGGGAACATTGTTT